TCAGCAGGATCATGAAAATATTTTCAAATAATTTATGGTGTGTCTGCTTTTCAAAAATTGAGCTGGAAGTCAGAATGCATGTGAAATCCTACCCTTAGCAGCTATTTTATCTACATAATTCTGCAGTTTCCTACCTGCTTTCTCTATGCACATGATCTAGCAGCAATAATCACACTCTTTGTAGAGATCTGTTGTAAAGGTCCAGGCTATTTTCTTCCTCGAGTTTTGGTGGATAGATAGCTTTCTTACAGTCTAATATCTCAATGGAGGTATTAATGGTAATTAATATTGCAAGTAAATATTAAATACTTGGAAGGCATGATATATGCACACATTTTACCCCACCCATCAAATCTGTTCCTGCTTCTAAAATTATTAGTGGCTGTCACTATCTTATGGTGATCAGTAATTACCTTAGTCTCAAAGGCCATTCGAGGAACTATGACATACATGATTTTTTTACTTTTGCAACTGATCACTATTTTTTTGAAAGAACACAATAAAAATGTTTTAAGTTGTTGAACTAACAATTTTTTATATCAGAAAATGCAGGTTTGATTAACTAAAGGTCTCAGTTGCAAGTATATTTCATATCTTTAAAGCAAATTTAAGTGAGATAATTATTCTGTAATAGCAAACTACTTACCATTCTAGTTGAGATATGTCAAAGAATTGTTTTTCCTATTGCTTTCACAAACTGAAAAAATACTGGGTATTTTGGATTCTCAGAAAACCGAGTGGTAACAGTAACAATGAAAATGAATTTATATTTCTTTCAGTATGTAGAAGTAGATTATGAGTGCGTAATGAGGCATATAAGGCAAGCAATATGTATGGAGATTATGATGACTGACATTGTTATGCAGCTAAATACAGTACTACTGAATTGTAGTTATTTATTTCTCAAGTTGTTGGAATTTGTGTTCTTTAGCAAAACAGACTATTCTCTAGAAATTTATTTTTTTATCACATGGAGTAGATGCATAAATGTATATAAATAGGTATGTGAAATCACATTCACTGCCTGAAGAAAGTTCCACAGTGTTTGTAAGCAAATGTAATTTGCTATATAAAACATAGTGAGACTTACAAATGACATTTTTTCCCTGCCCCAAATCACTGTAATGGCTTCAATGTCAACCTTTTGCAGTACAAAATACATCCATTTTACTAGGAATATTAAAGTGCCACACGCATATTGAATTTCACTTTTTTACCTGAGTGTATTGTTTTTCACAGCTTTTCTGTCTGAGTATATGGTGTATGATACCCACCACAGGCCAAAACACAGGGGTTGTGAGTGACCATGATGAAGTTGCATCAAGTTGTGTCAGTGGCAAGTTCAAGAGCAGTGTTCATTAGGCAGTCTTACTCAAGCAGCAACTACATTTTTCTAAGCCTTTTTTATAGTACCTCCCTTGACCGCATTTACTGTTGAAATGTGCAGTCTGGCTTTAGATCATATTGATCATTCATCAATCTTAAATTTAATTATAGGTTAGTAATTGCAACCACATTTAGTTCCTGTCCAGCTCCTGTAAGTTTGATTATGTAATCAAATTAAAACTCACCTCCTCTTCTGCTGTCTAGGGCCAGCAACTCAGTTCTTTGTGGTATTTTGATATCTTCCTTTATATATGGCCAAACATAGTCAGTTCTTACCAAAGTAGATGAAATAATTGTCTTTGTTCCAGTAGTCTTTATTGCTTCTTTGATTTGTCCCAGCATTATGTGTTTATCAGGACACTTGGAACTGCAAGCTCATAGCACTGTTACATTAATATAATCCTATGATAAAGGAATGTTATTGAAACAGTCATTCCACTCATATGCCCAATATGAAGTAATGAATTCTGTTGCCTTTGTAAAATTTTAGTTGTAACAATAGCCATCAGTAAACTTGCAAGCCTCTGTAATATAGCTCAAAGCCATCAATTGGTTCTCCAGTTTCTGATGCATTACAAGAAATTATAAGATCATTTATCTTCTTGTGATTTCATTTCCTTATGTGATATATTAGAACCAATTGCCCATGATTTGTATTATAGGCTGCCTATTGCAAAACCAAACTACACAAAGATGACATTTAACTTCACAAACTTGTGCTGCTTTGTTTTGTTTCATAGCCAACATTCTGTAAGCATTATTTTGAAAATATGAATAAGATTTAAGTATTAATCAAGAACACTTCTTATATTGTTTTAAGATCATCTGCACAGATGAAACTTTGAATTGTATTAAAACTTTGAATTTGTATTCAGCACAAGAACTTAAGAGATTGAGTGATCTAACCAGTAACCTACCATAGGTCACCAAGAATTGGAACCAGATGAACTATATTGTTTTCTAAGGAGCACAAAAGTATGAACTAGAAGTGATTTGACACTAGCTTGTATATAAGTGTTTGGTAAACAGATCAAATGCTGAAGAATTAAGCAATTATTGTTTTTGGGAATGTATCTATTTCTGTGATACTGCATGTAAAATAATGAAAATATCTGGTTTATGACACACATTTCTCATTCTTCAATATTTTGTTTCAAATATTGGTTTGACAGATATTGTCTTAGAAAAAGAGTTAAGAGACAGAGCGGAGCCTGATTACGGTAAGAAATTTTGAAACATTAAGTTGAGTTGCAATGGTAAATACATAATTATAGTGATAGCTTACAAGAAGCTCAATTACTCAAGTTTTACAGCCATAGTTTAGAACTGGAAGATAAGAAAAATGAATCCTTTAGAGAGCAATATCTACAAATATACGGCTGGTGTTCAGAACAGCACTGCTCATAATTCTTGTTCCAGATGTACTCACAGTTTTTCAATAAAATGATGTTTACATGTTTATATCCAGCAGTTTGATCCAGAAGATGTTTGTTTTTCCAATTTAAATTAAGATGTGATTACTATTAATTTATTTAACCACATAACAGCCATATATTTTACTCATTAAAATATCTGGTATCCTTTTCAGATATTTTTCCAACAGTGCCCGCAGGAAATCCTTATGACACAAGCAAACCAGAAGATCAGTATCATGTTATTGCTACTGAAACAGGTAATGTGATCATATGAGTTGAGTATTCTGGTAAAAATATTAACAGTGGACTCACTTAAATTAATCTTTGACAACTTCCATTATTGTCAGGGGGAAGTAGCAATCTCTTTCCCCAGGAAGTGCCCTGAAATTGTACACTTTTGAATAACATTTCAAGAGTTTTAGCCAGTCCTCTGCAGACTTTGATAGAAATCTACAGTTTAGCAGTCCTTGAAATCTGCACTATTGTCTCTGACCTGGTTATCCTCTGTCAACATGCAAGATTTCACCAGTGTTCACCCAGCTGTGGGGCATCTCCTGGGCTGTGGTAACAAGGGCCTTACCTCTCCATCTCCTTCCCACCTCTTCCCCAACATGTGTGACAAGCATACAGTGCATATGTTATCTTTTATATCTGATACCCAAGGCTCACAAAAAAAAAAGGCATGAATTTTTCAGTTATCTGCAGAATAGGCATTGCTCCGTAGCTATCCCAAGTACCCTGTGTTTTAAGGAACACCACATGCTAAAAGAAGTTAAGTGCTTTGCCGAGATTTCTAGCAGAGATGACACTTGGTATTTTGAAAGTGGATACCCACTGGCTAGGAGCCTGCTGTAATGCTCTTAGCTACTTTATTTAGCAATTTATGTCCTGAGTGGAGTCCTGAGTTTCAAGAGTTATAGCACGGACTTATTTCAAGGAATTGAAAATCTTTAAGGAGCTACTCAGGATTTTACAGGATTACACCATGGGATTATTGGAAGGTGATGCTCCATTTTCACACTGGTTGGTTGGATATGAGCCAGTGTCCCATTGCTTGTAACTCCAGAGGAGTGGGTATACTGAGGAACTGTATTTTGAAATCAATAATGATATTTATAAAAACCATGCAAAGACTCATAGACAAACCCAAGCTGAACATTCAGATTTAGTCTTGCTAGTGAAAGTATGTTCAAAGAGGACAATGGGTAAGAAAGTCTCCACAATTTGCATGTTACATGTATACTGTAAGCATGGGCATACAGTTATTGAAAACCAGTCCTTTTGGCAGTTGCATACCTCATCCTCTATTGCAGGCAGATAATAGAGTCCTAGCTTGGACCATTTTCCACTCCTTTTGTCCAGGTACCTGCAGAGCAGTGGCTTTAACTCTCTCCTGATTAGTTAAGGAGAGTGTATGCTTGCCTTTAAAGGAGAGTAAGGAGACAAGAGCAGGGTTTGTTCCTCTTGTGGTCCTGCACAGGTGGGAATCCAACGTGCAAGAGCAACTGAGTAGACAGATTATATGGACTGTAAAAATAATACGCTGTGAAATGTACTCTGTTAAAATACTTGAATTTTCAATTACGAAATTGGAATTCTTTCATGGATGAGTATCGAAAATGCCAGAATTTAAGTCCTTAAGATATGTTTTGCACGTCATTGCAGAAGTACTATCTTATTCTTGATATTGCCGAGTTATGTTTTTGAACCTCTTCCTATAGAAGGAATGTATAAATGTTCTTTTGTGTACGTTAATGTTTTTCTGATATTTTACTCCAGTTTTTCATTCACATGGTTAAGAGTATTTCAACATGGAAGGCATTAATGAGAACTTTTTGTCTTGTAGGTATAATTCCGAATCTAATTTATGTCGTAATACCCACTATACCACTATTGCTGTTGATACTGGTGGCTTTTGGGACTTGCTGTTTCCAGATGCTTCATAAAAGGTAAAATAGACAAATCCACAATGGTTTTATATCGCAGAATTCACGTTTCCATTGGCAAGCTATTCATACTGAAAGACTGCTTACATCTGTTCCCAAATATGCAAATAAGCACCTTTTCATCTATTAAAATCGAAGTAGTTTACAGCTGTTACAGATGAACATTCACCTTCAGGCTTTTCCACAACATGCTGAAATAGTTCCAGGTCTCTCAAAGTATATTGCCATTAGGACTTCACATGTTTCTGAAGGTATCTTTGCTGACCATTTGATAGGCTGAGCTACTACCAGCACTTTTACTTACCCTCTTCCATCTCGATTGCCACCTATACAATACAGCATCTGGGCTATGGGAAATAATAGTGGGGTCCTAACTGGCACAGGGTGAACTCAAAGACTCGCCTCACTTTGACCTAAAGTCCAGTTTGTTCCAAGGATAAACCTAAGGGGCCTGCAGCTGTTTAATGCTGTTTCAGTGTGCATACCATACGAGCAACAGATGGCCCACTGAGCAGACACATTGAAAACAAAAAGCAAAGATATGTTTTGAGCCACACGCCTTTGTACATCATGTATCTGCCAAAGCAGATGCATAAATAGATATGTGTATATAGATGAAGTATCAAACAGATATATTATAGGAAACAGTTTAGCTTATGAAACAGGGTATGTATTGATCCATGCTTTTATATTTCTCAAAATATAATATACCAAGATATAACAACATACATACTTTTTTTCCCCTCTGAACTATCTTTCTGAAACCTTCAAGGATGCTTTTTATGCTGCAGATTTTTTTTCCAGAAGCATTCTCAAGCTAATGTAATCCAGAAAAGTTTAAACTGAAATATGTTTTATGGATAAACACTGTTTTGGCAAAATAGCAATATTCACAAACTGTTATTCTTCTTGAAGAGCAGGAATACTAGTAAGAAATACAATATCACTCTTTTAGGACATCGGGAAAAAAAATTTTTCTCCTTACTTTTAGACTTTTTTTTTTCCCTCTATGCTTTTATTTAGCATTTTCTGTAAATAGCTGAAACGTCTTTCAGGTGAGAAAACACTCCAAATGTCAAGTCATCTTTCATCTTTATAAGGGTATAGTGATCACAGCATTCCTTAGTAATGTGTCTTTTTGAAATAAGTAACTGTAAAGAAAAGACGTTATGAGGTCTGCATCATAAACTAGATTGTGTCTTTATTTTATGCACTTTCCTACAAAGAAAAGGAGAAAATGTGCACTTTCCAACATGTTTTATGGCAGGCAAATTCATGCTTGTGAAAGCATGCCCCCTCAGCACTGGGGCTGTGGAAGTCTGGAAATTCAAAGGAAAGAGTAATAAAGGAATCATATGTATAACGGTAGAAATTATTTAAGTATTCTAAATCTGGGACCCTTATAACAATGGACCTGGATTTCTTGGTAAGTATGACATACATGTTCATACCTTTTCTGGCAGGCCTTTCTCTCCCCAGACAAGGTTCAGCTCTCAACTACTCCTGGGAAAACAATGAGAGTCATGGCCCACTGAAATCAATAGATATATATTAGTGTTGACTTCACTGGGCTTTGATCAGGCCTATTTGATGCTATAGCAGTTCATCCAGAAGTAATTAAACTGAACTTCAAGACTTAAAAATTGTATGACACATATTGGAAATTCAGCTTGGAAAATTGTATGTTTTCTGTTAGCTGATTTGTTTGGTAGATCAAATGGTACAAAAATCAGGGAGAAAATGATCTGAATCAAAACAGGTTTGGTTTGTGATTGCAGGAGGCTTTATGTGTGTGTTCCCCCTCCCTTTCAAATGTTCATTTTGAGTTGCAGCAAAGTTTTTAATAAAAAAAACCAAACAAATTTACTTTAAAATTCATTTAAGTCAAAAGATGATATTCTGGTATCATCAAAAATTAAGTATTTTATATCCGTTGAGACAGAACTTTGTTTTTAAACAAATATTTCCCCATCTATATTCGATAATATTTTCATGTATGACCTACCTTGTGAATAATTTTCATCACAAGTACCCAGTTCTTGGGCAAAAAGCAAATCAAAAAAAGAGTCAACCACTTGAACTTACCAGCTGGATGCTGTAAAGCTTTAGGAAAGGGATTTTGTCCTGCTGGGGAAGAGGGATCCCCAAGTTTCAAAATGAACCTGACTTCTCATTCTTTTTTAGGCTTCCACAACATGGTGACCTTTCCTCTGAAAGCCACAATCCATGGCCAACCAGGACATGCCTAGCTTGAAAGGTCATGACTAATTTTGCCTAGTGTTGGGCTTTTAAAGGGTAGTAGTAAGGCAAAGCAAAACATCGTCCCTGTAGCTAGTAGAAATGATCAGCTCATTCATTCTTAGATGCTCTCCCTTTCATTTCTTCCAGGGAAGCAAGGAGAAACTGCTTCAAAGACCCATCTCCATTATCATCTGAATGCCTTGCAGAAAGTTTAAATTCCAGCCTGGTATATTTCTCAGTTTTTCTGATTGCATTTTATGGTCAAAACAGCAATATAATCAACCTATTTTTTGCATCTTCCTTACCTTTCTTACTAAAACCTATTTCCTGAACCAGAGTATAGCTGTTGAAAATCAGCATAGGTTTGCTGAAGATAAGCTCGTTTTGTACAGCTAAAGTTCTGATCCAAGGTATTTATAAATTTTTCCTGCTGTGTGGCAAGGAATCTCCATTCAAAGCATTTCATCAATAATCTACACAATATGCCTGCTTTAGCTGTATTGATCTGGAAGGAAGTAGTGAATTTGTTTCTTAAAGAAAGAAGTGCAAATCTACTTGATTCATTGCAGTTGCTTTGTTTATAGCATTGTGGCCTGATCTAAAGTCCGCTGAAACCAATGGGGTTTTTTCAGTTACTCCAATGCGCTCACGTACTTAATGCATTACTTTGTAGGACTTCAGAGGTAAGTCTGGAGGGACTAGAAATTACTTTTCTGTCCAATTCCCTCAAAGTACATTTAAAATCAACTCAGACTCACATTTACAACCAGAGAAAGGAGTAAAATTGAATGTATAAGACTGTTGGGATTTTGACTCTCAGGTTTCCTTACAGAATTCCTTACAAATCTTACAGAATTATGTAGAGCTACTTCTCCTCCTCTGGTTTTTACTTAATTGAGGGAAGAAAAAAAAATCACTGTGAAATATTCTGGCCAGAGACTAAAACATTTTGATTCAAATACAGCTGCAGTTGCTCATAAAGAGCCTCTTCAGTAGACTGCAGTGCACTGTCACCTACCCTCTCTAAGTGAGGGGAAAGCATGTGATGTGGCTGTCACAGCAGAGATGCTAGCCATATGGAAAGACTAGCATCAGTTTACAGGGTACTTCAGGACTCCCTGTAAAGGCTAGAGTGAACACTTTTGCAGTATTGCAGAGCAAGTAATTTTGTAAACAGTTTAATATTTTTTTATTAAAAAACCCCAAACAAACAAACACAGAAACTACTATTGACAGTTTTGAATGAAAACTGGCCTCAGGAAGCTTTCTACCAGTCATTCATTGCTAGAAGTCTGATTCATGTGCCATTACTTCATTAGAAGCTAGGTCAAGCCCTGAAGGAAGCTGTATCAGTTCGCACGGGAACCCATGAGCGTACCGCAGTCATGGGGTGCAGCTCCAGGATGTGAATGGGCAGGGTTGCAGTAGCTCCCTGGGGTGGGTGGGTGCACCCTCAGCAAGTCGGATGTGGGCTCTCATGCTCCTGTCGCACATACATCCCCCAGATGAGGGAAGTGTCCAGCCTTCCACCACCCTGGTCAAATAGTGTCTGCAACCATCTCTGAGAAGACCACCATGTATGAATAAGTGTGGTTGAATACGAACTGAAATACCAAACCAAAACAACAAAACCCAAATGTGCCAAGTCAGTTCTGTTCCTGGGAGGAGTGCAGCTGAGCAGGGTGGTCTGGTGACTTTGGTAAGAGTTGCTTACCTCAACCCACCACCGTGGTGCTATGTTGGGTGCAGCATGGGCACGACCCTTTTGTGGGTGGATGGGGAACCTGTGCGATGAGAGCAGCAATGGCATCCTGTGAATAGGTGGTGGAATGCCCAGGTCTGATCACAAACCTGAACCATGACTGCAAAGGCACGTGTGCACTGAAAATAGTTTATATTTTTCTTTTTCAGTAAAGGAAGAACAAAAACTAGTCCAAACCAGTCCACACTATGGATTTCAAAGACGCCTAGGAAGGACAGTAGCATGGAGGTATAATGACTTACTGACTGAAAACAAAGCAAAAATAACATTCTGCAGTCAGGCTGTATTATGTTGTCAAAGAACATTAGCTTGGAATGGCTTGAAAATGCAAAGGATCTACAAGAATGAACTGTAAGCTCCCCCTTGAGGCAAATGTTCAGATCATTTTTATATAATGTTTGATTATTAATTCAGTAACGAAATATGCCATGCTAAATAAAGGGTATGTGTTTATTTTGCTAAGAGATGTAAGTTAGCTAGTTGTGAGCAATGAAATGAACAGAGTGTTTGAAGTTTTTATGGGGAAATAGCTACAATGTATATCAGTTTTAAGACTGTTTGTAGTTAAACAAACCCTGTTTGTTTCCTTTAGTCTTTCATGCATTGTAACCTGGTTGATGTACTGTAAATGGAATTGACAATTTTACAGTGTAACAATTATTTATCTTTGCATAAATATTTGATACAAAATATTTGTTTAGTGTTTATTTGCACACTTAGCACAGTTTTTGAGCATCAGGCACACAAATTATTAACATGGTCGCTAGCAGAGGTGGCCACCATGTTCTGACATCCATCTGATGTAGCAAAATTCAAGGATTCACGAAAGTCATTTGATGTCATATAATGAATTCAGGGAATGACCATAACTTTTTGACATACTGGTCCAAGGTTAACATAAATAACTTTGCAAGTGATACCTCATTAATGAGGAGTCCTTTGAAGACAGCCATTAGTTGTTATTTAAGTAAAATACTTTTCACTTTTTCTAAGGAAAAAAAAAATCACAATGGGCAAGAGTTTAGGATGAAAATTACTTTTTTGACTAAATCTATGTAAAAAAGACATTAAAGTTCATTTAAATACAGCTAATAGTTTGTTAGGAATAATGTAATGTTGGATCAAAGAAGACAAATGGATATTCTTGGAAGTGGTACTAATAGATTGATCCAAGTATTACTGTGACTTAGCTAGAAAAGTGTTAATTATGTTAATTGATAGACTGATTTACAGGTAACCCTGATGCACTGAAAGTTTTAAGAATTATTATTAACATCACTAAGGTCCATTCTCTCGGTTCTTTAAGAGCTTTCTGAGCCATAAGAGAGGTTTTACTAGTCATTAGGAGCAGATCTTGGGGTGGCAGCAATAGCACTCTGTCTGATTTGTTGGTGACAGTCTGGTGCTGTAGCAGAAAGTTAAGAGGTTTTCTGCAGTTGCAGCAAGAGTTCAATAGCATGAGTTCAAGCTAGTTGGTTTTACATTAACACAGATTCAAAACTACTGCTGGGTGGAAGTTGGGGAGAGACAGACAGAAGCAAAATTGGACTGCTCTTTGGTTGCCTAAGCTGTGGTAGCTGATGTTGATCACAGCTTTGAGTTCAGAGACAAATGTGTACCAATTTCTCTGAGTAATGGGGAAAAAAAAAAAGTTCAATACCAGTAATACTAATGGTATTCATGCTATTACTGAAGCACTTTTGGAAGCATCTTAAAGTTGCTTTTATGCCATGTTATAACTTGCTTTTTGAAGAAGCCATTTTCTGTATTCAGTTTAAGTATTGCTATTCCTACTTAAAATATTCTGTAGTTTTTCGAGTCAGTCACAACTTCTTTGCTTAATCCCCTACTTCAATTTCCTTTGTAATGATTGTAAATAGAAAATACTATGATCCTGTACCAAGACCAGAATTGTTTTTATCCTGACTTAAGTATTGCTTAAGTCAAGTGAGGGCAAGAGATTCCTTTTTCTTGGGAACACCTGTTGTAAAAAACTTAGCTTTTTTTTTTTTATGGTCTTAAAGAATTACCTCCCTTTAACACATTTCCTTCTCTAAATCTCTTCCAAATGACAGCAGTAGGTGAGGCAAGGAACTGAAGGATAAACAGTAAACCATAGCTAGTCCTCAGATGGATGGTGTGGCTTCACTTTGGTATTTTACAGCCATTATACTCCCACCACCCCTATTTTTCCTATGGGAAGAGAATTTTTTATCCTTTTTTTTTTTTCTTTTTTTTTTTTTTTAATATAGTGCAAGAAGCATTTAAGAGAGCATCTTAGTTCCTTCTTTAATCTTCTAACCCTTTTTGGATGCATGCAAGTGTAAGTCAGCATCAAACTTCTACCCTCTCTTTCAAAGTATTTTGGAAGAATGACTCGAAAATAATCCATGCTGCCCACATGTTCCAACATAGTAACAACTGGTTTCTCTGCAGGTTAGTATGCAGGCCACTGAAGTCATGGATGGTGAATGAAGGCTAGAATGTGGTTGACTGTTACGTTAGTTTTATGTAGACGTAAGTTAGTTGAAAGAAAAAGTTTATTTTTAATCATACTAGTCTATATTACATATAAATTTCTATACTAGTTTATAATACGAAATTTTTTAGTCTGATGGGATGGTTTATTAATGTGTACCTCAAAATACATTTATGCTTTGCATTTTGGGAAGCAAAAATAGAAGTATAATAATGTATTTTTGAGAAGCATGTTTTCTAGTAACTGGATCTGCTTTGAGTTGGCTCTCTTATTTCATTACAGACTGAAACACAATTTACAATAGTGATGTATGGTAAATAATGCAGAAATCATGTCACATTTTAATTAAGCCTTTTAACGTAATTCCTTTATCCAAATCAATTTACGCTGATAGAAGAATGCACTTGATTTTCAGTGTCTCTTTTCAAGTGAAGGAGAGTAGCAGGAGAAACAGTAGTCCACCATGAAAGCTAGGATTTGCACCTTTAACATTTTAATGTTAAAACCTGTGTGGTTTATATGAAGGAAGGTGTCTAAAATACCTTTTATTTTCTTTCTGGCTTACTTACAACTGTCTCTGTTCCTTGTCGTCACAGACATATTGGTAAAGTTAAATATTTTGTTCTGGACCAAATGCTTAGGAGGCCTGAAAACAGTTTGGGACTTGATACTTATTTTATCAGTGACTGCGAACCTGTGTTTGTCAGCTAGCCTTTTGTTTTGAGCACTTCGTATCTGCGTTTAGAGTTGTAACCACCAAGTGTGGGAGCTCCTTACAAAAATCGCACATCTATGTGTATATGTGCAGTTACATATACACACTAAGTTAGAATGCGTTTTGTATTTTCATGTTGTACTTTAGAATTAAAAATATATTAAATTCCTAAACTAGCCTGAAAACAAAAATAAAGCAAATGCATCATATTACACAAACATTAAAACATGATTAAATTTAAGCCATTTCAACAAGTAGATGTTTATATTTTAATAGAAACCTATTCAGAAAAGAGCTCAAGAATATGAAAAAAAAAAGAATTTTTCCTTGATATTTTTTCCTGTTTAGAATGTTGGAATGGGCTATCATGATAGTTTTTATACAAAGCACAAACTCAGTATTTAAAGTCACCAGAACAGAGAAAGCATATCGAAGGAACCCTATTACCTTTTATTCACTAGAAATAGCTGATACTCATTATTGTCAGATGTTTTTAAAAAACATTACTGTTTGTAAGAGAATGTTGCCATATTGTGAGTCTGTGGTTGGGTGTACACAAGCACGTATCTATAATTGCTTGAATAATTGCTAAAGCACTTTTCTAAAAAGAAAACTAAAAAGCTATATTCAATCCTTATTTAACTCTTATTAATTCCAACAAATTACACAAGAGAGATCTTGCGGCTTACATTCAGTTTATTCATTAGAAAGCAGCATGATATATGATCAGTCTTTGTGTACAATCCATAAACCTCATTCCAGAGCTTTTTGTAATAGACAAAACAGAAGAAGTCCCACAAGCCCAGTTTTAACAGATAACACACCTTTGGTCTGACGTGTGGTGAGATTACTGAGAAGAGTTGACTATTCATTGGAATGAAAACATACATTGAAAACTACAGTCTAAAACATAAAACCAGGTATTGTTTAGCCTGGAATTAATAATCTAGCCCATTTTTCAATAAAGCATTTGCAGTTTACAAAATCTTTTATTTTACTGCCCGTGGTTTGTAAAGCCTTCCACTATGCATTTAATGCACTCTTCTTCAAAGAAACTGTTTCCTCATGGTCTCATAGAAAAAGTAAAATTATAAAACTATTTATTAACAAAATCGTAGCGTCTATTTTGGAATATTACTCTCAATTGGTAATGGAGTTCTCAATTAGTAATGTTTTCCTCCCCAAAATTTATATATTTGTTCAGTTTCTCTAACTGTGAGGTTGAAATGCCAGTCTCGTTTATGTCATTATCCAATGGCTAACTTTCAACTTTTAAGTTGTATTTTCATCACTTAAAAATATCAAGCTAATAGATAATTATTTTGATCCAGTCCACAAACATGGTGACTCGAACATATACTCCTGGTCGTTCAGGAAGTGCACACTTGTAGCCAAATGATGTTACACCAACCAAAACCCATTTGTCCCCTTCTTCAAATGTCAGAGGGCCACCTGAGTCTCCCTGCAATATGAAATTCAGAAGATGTTAAAAATGAATACTGTCAACTTGGAAGCAGAGCCTGTTTATGCTGTTTTGTTTGTGTTGATCCTTAATTGTAGACATTGTATCCCTGTTTGTCTTGGGCACAAGAAATGAGATCAATATGAATATTTGCATGTGGAAAAATTCTTGAGATAATAAATTGCCTTTTTTTTTTTTGCTTTTTTTGCCCTTTTTTTTTTTTTTTTGCTTTTTTTAAAGAATATGAACTTGAGCTGTTGTCAGTCTTTCAGTACAGGACTGGGTTTCAAATTATTTTTCTGCTTATTACGTTTACATTTAGCCTTTCATCTTTCACAAAGCCTGGGTAAATGTGTAGGATTATTATTTAATTAAACCTAAATTCATCCAGCACGCAGTTCTATTTTTGATCACCTCAGACCTTCTGAAACTTCAAATGTAGAGAAAAAAATGGCAAGATTACCAGAATAGGAGGTGTCCTTTTCTCAAGCCTCCTTCTCAGTAGTTTAGCAGATGTAGCATTGCAATAAATGTGGGAGACCAAATTTGATTCACCCCACAGCCTGAGTAGGTGATGAGGCAGCCATGAGTGTTTTGTTTTGATGAGAAAGCAAGCAATGACTATTTTTTTTGTCTGTCATGTTAGTTGGATATTGTCTATCCAGTATTATCTTTGTCTTCTCATGGCCCTGTGAGTGGATCTTTAGGGGAGAGTTCTGCAAAGACTTGGGCATTAAAATACTTCCGCCCATAACTCTAGGGAGTCTGCAAATATTCAAAGTCTGTGGCAGCAGCCTAAAGGCTGAAGCACTATTAGGACTTACTTGTTCATCTTTGCTTATGGTTGAATGGTCATTGATCACAACGCTGGTCACTTGTACTCTATGTCAGCCTATGGTGCTACGCTGATTTTTTTTTTATTATGAGGTTCAGAAGGAAAAACTGAAAGAGGAAAGCTGCAAAGGCTGAAAGAATGGCAAGTAAATTTGGGCTTGCATACACTCCTCCTTCTAGACTGAACTAGCCAAAGCCACAGTACCTGATGAAGTCTCAGGTTGTGAGGGCAAGGCAATTGCAATTACATGGCAAAGCTCCTTATCAGACTTGAGAACCAGCCAGTCTCCATGCCACAGACTCCATATTGTTGGAAGAAAAATTATGTGACAGCCAGTTCTGACTAAATCCTCAGAGAGAAGCAGTGTGCTGTAACCAGAGCTGGAATGGATAAAACTAGGTCCCCAGGAAGCAGCATATGAGATCAATGCAGAAAGGCAACCTTTCCAAAATACTGTGGCATCCACCTACACAAGGTCTCCAGAGTCTACAGACTCTGGGAAAAAGGATCATTGATCTCTCCCTTCATGAAGCATTTCTGTGATTTCAGTCTATTTGGTATTTATTTCTCTGTACTCTGCTTTTCCCTAAGCATGTCCCTCTTTTCTTCATGGAATTACTAAGCAGGAATTATTCAAAGCTTAGTGAAAACTTAGTGCAGAAAATTTCCAGTCCTCATATTTATCTTCCTCCAAGGTTGTTTATGCCAAGATGATACAAAATTGCTTTTTATCTTTTTGACTTGTATCCTGATAGAGTATCAAATGGGCAAAATATTGTGAATAGAAATTACATTCATGGAAAGTGATTGTCCTGGTTTTAATGATTGGAGGATCAGGGAGCATTTTATTCAGTAATGAGGTGTGGTGTATACTAGTAGTGGAAATGAGTCGATTGTATTTACCTGACAAGAATCTACTCCTCCTTCATCATATCCTGCACAGATCATATTCTTAGTAATAGTATACTCTGGCATCTGTTGCTGGCATTTTTCATTTGAAATGAGAGGCACCTCTGCTTCTTGCAGTATATCTGAAGTGGGACCTGATGAAAATACAAAGTACAGTTACCTGCTGTAATAAATATGTATATTCTGCTCGGAATTCTGATGGTTTTTCTCCTGTTCCAGCATGCTGGGCACACTATGGAGCAGCAGGAAACTGCCTCACTGCTGTACTGTTCAGGCTTATAGGCCTGTAACACAGTCACTGATTAAACAGTGCTCATTAACTGAATCCTGTCTTTCATTTCTGTAATGGGACTGAATTTGGTTATAATTAAATCAAGATTACTAAAATCAATGACTATGAACTCACTATGGGGAGATATAAGGGATAATTAAGGGTTTAGGAGCTTGGATTCTCCTCACTTCATTGTGTAACTTTGAGTATTTAAAATTTTAAATGCAATTTTATTCTGAAAATGTAGAAGCAAATGCATACAGGTAACTGTGGAAGTGAAATGGCATGTTTATTGTTTCACAGAGACTCCACATCTGGAGTATATGATAAACAAACAGAACATACTTTTCACAATACAGGCACTGTGCTTGACTTCTGGGGAAAATTGTTTGCACATTGTCAGAAAGACTAATTTTCCTCCTCCCCCACCCAATACCTGGAAACAAGATGTACATATTTCACATTGAGAAAAGTAGTTGTAAATTCTAAGGGGATGCAGTAAGGTTTTTTCATTATTCAATTATCTTAGATGTGTATGTATATATATTTAAATAAGTAAGTTATAATTCTTTTATTTTTCTTTGGTGAAGAAACAGTGGAGGGGGAGAGTTTCCAAATTTTCATATGAGGGAGTACCTCTTTAAATTATTTGACCTTAGCAAGCCCTGTGGAATCAGGAGCGAGCTTTCCTTCATGACTTCATGCTTATCATAATTTTCCTAGCAGATGACCCACCTTCACTCATAATAGTACCCCAGCCAGCAATGGAGCAGTTAATTCCTGGTAAAAAGTGTTGATTTTTTTCTGGTAAGCAGATAGGTTGTATATAATCTGTGAATGAGAAACAAGCAACAAATTTCAACCTCTTCTTTGTATTCAGGTTTTTATGAAATCACATAAGAAAATGTTCATGAATTCAAACCTACTTTTTGGGCAACATATCCAGGAAGTACTGGACTGCCTCCAGAATGATTAGGTTGTGAAAAATGTGTGACCACCCCATAACCCTCACATGCTTAGCATAGTTAGAGTTTTGCATAATAGAGTAAATCTGGTTTACAGGAAAAGAACAACTCACCTGTATATTGCACTTTGTATTGCAGGTGCATGAGAGCAATATCGCTATCTTTTGTATACTTCATGTAATGAGGATTTATAATTATTTGATCAATGTTTTGAACTACTGTTGAAGGCTGTGTCGTATCTGATTGATCATACAAGCCAAGAACTGCTTTCCACTGAGATGGTTTCAACTGCCTCCTAGAAATTACAAGGAATATTCACAATTATGAATGATTAATGAAAGTTTTGAAAAATATGTTAGGTAAAATGCAAATTTTTAACCTCATGGTAATTCATAGCATCTGCACATTTTGTCAAAATAAATAGAATGTAGCAGAAGTGCTTACAATTTTGGCATAGTAATGCAATCTTAAATATCCAGACTCTAGAAATACATGGTTGATTTTTTATATTAAGCTTATAATGCATTATTTATGAAGAATTAATCAGACAGTAGTGCAGAGGAGGAAAATACATTAACTAAATTACTGTGGCTTTCTAAACACTGTGAAGAATATTGCCGACTGCCCACCAAGCAATTAATATTGGTCCCAGTTAGAAAATTATTATGGAATACCCAGAGAATAATAGGTATAAGATGTCATTGGGAATGCTGCAGCTCATAGACTCAGAAAACCGATCTCTTAATTTTTTAGCCTAAATCAAAAAAAAATATGCTAAAACAAAATATGATGTAATCTGCATTTTTTTGCTGTGCTATGCATGCTCTTTTGAGGCTGTATTTATGTAGAGAACTTAATTATTTGCTATTTGTTAATCAACCAGTTCATAGTTTCAAAAATATGTTTTCAGCCTGATTGTTGTCCTGAATTAGTTTGACACTAAGAGGTTATCTTGTTCTAAAGTAGTAGCATTTAAGTTAAATGTTCAGGACTAAGGTGTGAAACTGCAAGCTCCCACTTTGGAATTTGGGAAAATTCCAGTAAAGTCAAGATGAAAAAATGAGATTTAAGTAAAAATAGAAAGGTGATTTAAGGGAAAAGGAAGAAACAAGACAGGTGTGGATTTATTGTGTAAAAACTAAAAGGGGCCTGATCCTTTTCATTTCAGTATCTTTGTGTGGAATATAGCTCTTTGGAATATACCGCCTGTCATGCAATGAGGTAGCATTAATATATCGGCATAGTCTGCACTGCCTCAATACTTAGCTTTTTATAATGAAAGCTCAACTGTAATTTCGAAAATTAATGTTTCTTTTTTTGCCGTTCCATTGTCTCGGTGTCTTCCTCAGCACTTGTTTTTACTATAGATGTTATGGAAGCAAACCCTAGAAAATATTTTAATATGCATCACTTCTCACTTTGAATGGTAGAAATAACACCATCTAAAGGATATCCAATATTGCCTATGGACATAAATCAAGATTCATGCACAATAAATCTTGGTCAATCTGTAATAATGTACAGTAGAAAGAGGCAACACTGAGTTTACCTTTATAAGATATGATGTCATCCTTTATACCACTGGCAGAGATTCAACTCATTAATGGAAGATCACATTAATTATGGGTTAAGTGCAAATGCTCAGTATTAATACTATATATTTAAAGTGCAATTCTTTATTGTTCAGAAAATGCTGCTTAGTTTCTATGATTCTCTGCTTTAAAGTAAAGACTAAGAGTTTACCAGAAAGTAAAGAAGCCTTTAGCTGAGCCCACAAATGATTCAAACCAGTAATTAAAAAGTGAGCTGGTCATTTTTTATATTGGTGTCACAAATTATTCATAATATGATACCTCCTTAATGAACCTGCACATAAAAGAAATGTTTCATTATCATTAAAATAAAAAAGACATGGCATGGATGTCATATGGCCATCTCAGCTAGTTGGAAAGACACCCTGGAGTCAGTGGAGAGAAATTTATATTCATTTCATTCTAAAATAAACATCTAGAAAAATGCCTTAAAAAGTGTCACACCCCAGTGATTTCAGTATGAT